AGCCCTACTTCAATTATGTTCCGTGATCACTTGAAATGTAAATTCCAAATTTCGCTGCCGCTTCTTCACTTTCCATGTCTATCATACAAACGTATCAGTCCTACGCACTGGTTTCTCAGTCAGATGCAATTCCTGCAGTTACAGGTGAATTAAAGCGGTGCAATAACAAGACATAGAAATATAACAAAGAAACGCACGTCACGGATCAGTTCGGCTCTTTCTGGATACTTTAGTGGCTCTGAAAAGAGCCGTTGGGTTTCTCGGGGTTAACGTACAGGGCCAGGTACGCTCCGTTTAGGCGCGCTCCCCGCGGATCCGGCGGGCCAGCTGGATGTCTTTGGGCATGATGGTGACTCGCTTGGCGTGGATAGCACACAGGTTGGTATCCTCAAACAGCCCCACCAGGTAAGCCTCGCTGGCCTCCTGCAGAGCCATCACGGCCGAGCTCTGGAACCGCAGGTCGGTCTTGAAGTCCTGAGCGATCTCCCGCACCAGGCGCTGGAAGGGCAGTTTGCGGATCAGCAGCTCGGTGGATTTCTGGTAGCGGCGAATCTCCCGCAGAGCCACCGTGCCGGGCCGGTAGCGATGAGGCTTCTTCACTCCGCCCGTGGCCGGAGCGCTCTTGCGGGCCGCTTTGGTCGCCAGCTGCTTGCGGGGAGCTTTCCCTCCGGTGGATTTGCGCGCTGTCTGCTTGGTTCTGGCCATTCTCTTCAACTTCCTGCAACACACTTACAAGTTACCGCTATCAATGCTGAGTTTGTTGCGGTGCTGCCAATTTAAGGGAATGAAGAGCCCGCCTCAGATTGGGATTGGATACAGTCCCGTCACTCAACCTGCTGAGAAACAGCTCCTGGAGGGACAGAAAAGGCAATAAAATAATTGTTGGAAGCTGATTGGTTAACTTGAAATGACAGTTGGTCAATTTCAAATAGCCTGCCGATTTTACCCTCGCACTCCTGAGATTAAGTTAAATATTTAAAGGAAAAATAAAGTCCGACGACGATAAAGTCTTCTACTTTGTAGGATTTTTAAAAAACCTAGCTTGCACACAGCGCGACAGGACACGGGATTATTGTCTGATCTGTCTGTAACAGGCAGGAGAAAAGCGCGGGGTTTAATACAGCACAAACTGATCAACCGAACGTGTAACCGCCGTTAATGAATCTAAACAATCCCGCCGATTTAAACTTAATAAAAGCAAATATAGTGTACACTAATAAAGTTACGCAATCTCAATTTATCGGCACATTTTTATTAGACCCAGTTTATAATTCGTCCGAAAACAATTTGTCATTGCTACGTTTAGCAGCCAGATGGAAAGAACATGCCATTAAAATATCTGCAGGCGTCCCAGAATAAAAAATGAATCAGATATCATTCCTGGAAGGGTTAATGAAATAGAAATACTGGAATATGTAACATTTCGCATCTGGGCAGAATTACAAGTCGCGATGTAAGATAACGAGCTGCAGTACAATACACCCTCCCGGATGATGCTGCCTTTCCCCGTCCTCAGGTCTCCGCCCTCAATAGGACGAATTGGGTGGCTCTGAAAAGAGCCTTTGGGTTCGCTGGAAAAGGTCGATTTTCTCAGCCGCCGAATCCATAGAGAGTGCGGCCCTGGCGTTTCAGAGCGTACACCACATCCATGGCAGTGACGGTCTTGCGCTTGGCGTGCTCAGTGTAGGTGACCGCATCCCTGATCACATTCTCCAGGAAAACCTTCAGCGTAGATCAAGCCCGAGATGCGCTTGACCCCACCACGGCGAGCCAGGCGCCGGATGGCTGGTTTCGTGATGCCCTGGATGTTATCACGGAGCACTTTGCGGTGCCGCTTCGCTCCGCCTTTTCCCAGGCCTTTGCCTCCTTTGCCTCTTCCAGACATCACGCTTCTTCACTCCAATCGCTGCCGATTGAGAGCCGAGCTGCCTCACCTTCCTTTTTTATACAGCCCGCCCCGACCTGACTGAGAAAGAGCTCACAGAGAGTGAGAGGCTGCCTGGATAGTTAAAAAGTGACTGCAGAGAAATATCCAGCTCCGCCTCCAGCTAACTCCCGCCCCCAACTGGATCTGGAACGAAACCTTTTCTCCATAAGAGCAGTGAACACAACGATCAGCAGAAAATCTGCAGACTCGAGCTTCATGGTCAAAGATAATAAAAACAGGAGCTTTTAAAAGTACTTGTGATACAATTAAATGACCATTTCCCGGCATTTCTTAACAAGTCAACACGGTTGCTTCCATTTCAATGTCAGTTTCTATTCCTTCAGCTGAAAGAGAAAATCATTGTTTGGGGATTGTGTTGTGAAGCAGGGTTTCAGGGCCAGTGTTACGAGTGTTGCGGGGGCTGGGTGTAAATCCGGTAGAGAAATGGGGACGAGTTATTCATATAAATTAATATGTAATTTATCCCTGCACTCGGAGCTAGGACAGGGATCATTTGATCCGGGCTCAGCTCTTTCCTGAAATATGTGGGTGGCTCTGAGAAGAGCCTTTGGATTCAGAAGGTTACATGTTGCACAGACTGCTTCATTTCTTTGCTGCTTTCTTGGTCACTTTCGCTTTGGGCTTGGCCTTCAGTTTACCCGGTTTCGGGACCGGTTTTGCGGCCTTGGGGCTCTTGGTCTTTTTCACCTTCTTCACGGGAGTCTTTTTCTGAGGCGCTGCTTTCTTCACCGCTTTCTTTGGCGTTGCTGCCTTCTTGACGGCCGCATCCTTGCCTGTTGCTTTCTTGGTTGGGGATTTCTTCGCTGTCACCTTCTTGGCCGTTGTTTTCTTCACGGCTGGTTTCTTGGCGGCTGCTGCTGGTCTCGCCTTCTTTCCCACTTTTGCCTTGACTGGATTCTTAGGGAGTTTGAAGGAGCCGGAGACGCCCTGGCCCTTGACCAGAACCAGGGAGCCTTTCGCCAGACACCTCTTGATAGCCATCCTGATCTGTGCATTTTGCTTCTCCACATTGACCCCGCTTCTTTGCAGTACCTTCTTTATAGCGGCCAGAGACGTCCCCTTCCGATCGCTGCTCTCCCCGACAATCTTCACAATCCGCTCGCCCAACCCGGGACCGGCTGTTTTTTTCCTGGGAGCCGCCGCCTTCTTCTTCTTCTTAGGAGTCTTGGGTTTGGTGATGGCGGAAGCTGGAGGAGCCGTTTCGGCGGCTGCACTGTCGCTCACGTCGAGAACTCTGCGCTGAATCTCTCTGTGTCAGACTGAACTGGGTCAGCAATGAAGCTGCTGGTGGCGGCCCTGAGCAACTGAAAGGCAGCGAGCGGACGGCGCGGAGACAACCGGCCCTCAACTCCCTGCTCCTGCTGCCTCTCTGTGTTTCTCTCTCGGCCGAAACTCTCCAATTCCTCTGCAATTCCGCATCTCTAGATAGCCAGGCTCGATCGTTCCTGACTCTGACACGGGAAGGTTTGCGGCCAAAATGTTTTCACTCGAATTGACGGCTCCGTTGTCGAGTTAAACGCATTTTGCTGCTGCACTGATCGCGCTCTCTGAGCTGAGCGCTGACATTGTCGTCACTTTTAGACTGAAATCTTAATATCAACAAATACATTGACTTGAATCTTACCTTTGGAGTTTAGTGGGGGAGCAGGGGGATAACCTGAATTGAAAATCTTATTGATTTGAACAAGAGGGACTCCTAGATCACATGCTACGAAAGAACGCGCAAACACAGTTACATTCGACTAACCCGCCCGCCCTTCTCCTAAAGTCTCGTTGACACAATATTCACAGCCACACAATCACAGGCCAGAAATATCACCAAATGTAAATGTGAACGGATACAATTTCTCCTCCTTTCAGCCTTTGCTCCGGTATCCAGGGAGTTAGTTGTCGTTTTTCTCCTCAGTAACTGTTAAACTCTCTGAGGCTTCTGCGCCGGAGATTCGCTCTTCTGCAGATTCAGCAGCAAGATCCAATCAAATGGGTTGAAGTTATATTGATCGCCCAGATCAGTATTTTTCATTCCGGTGACAATACTCAACATCGGTTCTGGGAATCAACAGACATAGAAATATAAATAACAGCAACTGGACCGAACCAAACGGCCCATGAAATCTATCCTCCCACTCATCATGAAAATGGCAGATCATCCAATTCAATAGCCTGTGTCAGTTTTTTTTCTCTCATATAGAGTCATACAGCAAGGATACAGGCTCTTTCGTCCAACTCGTACATGCCGAATATAATGCCAAACTAAACTAGTTCCACCTACCTGCTCCTGGCCTATTTCCATTCAAAATTGTCATCATTATATACTTATCCAAATGTCGTTTTAATATTGTAATTGTAGCCACATAGACAATTTCGTCAGGAAGTTCATTCCACATGCGTCCATGCTCACTGTAAAAAAAAATGCCCCTCGTGTCCTTCTTTTCAAAAATCTCTTTCCTGTCACATTAAGAATGTCCACCGTGGTCTTCCATTGCCCCCATCCCAGGCAAAAGACAACTACCGTCAACTCTGTCTCATCCCCCTCATTATTTTATAAAATTCTATAAGGTGACCTCTCAACATTCTATGCTCCAGTGAAAAAAAAAAAGTCCCAGCATTTCCATCCTTTCTTTATAACTCAAACCTCACACACATGGCAAAATACTGGTGAATCTCTTCCGAACCCTCTCCAGCTTAATAATATCTTTCCCCTGACAGTGCAACAAGCACTGGTCACAGTATTCCAGAAGTGCCCTCACCAATGTCCCTTCAACCTCAAAGTGATTTCCCACCTCCCAAACTCAAAGGACTGTGAAATGAAGGCAAGCATGACTTCTTAACCACCCTGTTGAGATGTGATGCAGACTTCATAGAATGCTAGGTCCCTCTGTTCTACAACACTACCCAAGGCCCTACCATTAATTGTACAAGGCCTACCCTTGTATGTTGCACCAAAATGCAAAGCCCTGCATTCATCCAGATTAACTCCATCTGCCATTTTGCAGCCCATTGAGGTATTTGATCAAGATTCATTTGTAATCTTAGGAAACCTTCTCCACTTAGTACTGTGCTACCAACTTTGCTATCATCCAGAAACATTTTTACCATGCCTTCTATATTCTCATTCAAATCATTTATATAATGACAAACAAAAGAGGCCCCAGTATCACTCCTGTGGAAAATCACTGGTGTCAGGTCTCCAGTCCAAAAAGCAACCCTTCATCGTCACTCTCTGTCTCTTGACATTAAACCAATTATACCTTGATTCCCTTTGGCCACAAGTGCCTCACCCAATTCCTTTTTGAAATCATACAATGTGTTGGACATGGCTAATTTCTGTGGCAGAGAATTCCATAGGCACACCACTCTCTGAATGAAGAAAACTCTAACTTTCTGACCCTAAATGGCCTACCTATCTCCTAAAAATATGACTCCTACCATCAGGAACATTCTTCCTGCATTTATATTGTCTAGGCCTGCCAGTGTCTTATAGCTTTCTAAAAGAATCCCTCATTCTTCTGAATTTAAGCACATATATTCACAAACAATTCAATTTCTCCTTCCATCACAGCAATATGCACATTAAAACTGCCTTTATAGTAACACCATCCTTCCTCAGATAAAGAGGCCAAACCTTCACTCAGTATTCCAGTCTCGCACATACCCTGTTAAATCGTGGCAATTCATCCTTTCTCCAGTACTCAAATTCTCTCTCCATGAAGGCCAACATACCAGTTGCCTTCCTCAATGCCTGCTGCACCTGCATGCTTAGTTCAGTGACTGGTGTATGAGGACACCCAGGACTCATTGCAAATTCTACTGTTTACATTAATCGGCATTCAAAAAATAACTGCCTTCCTTTTATTTTGCTACCTTACATTTATCCACATGATATAGTGTCTGAGATGCATTTACCCACTGATTTGACTTCTTCACAATCACTGCATCCTCTTTCAGAGCTGACCATCTGACCCAATTTTGTGTCAACAGTATATCTGCAGATAGTACATTCAGTTCCCTCATCTAAATCAGTGTGAGTACATTGTGAAGAGCTTTGATCCTAAAACTGATTCTTGCCATGACCCCTAGTCACTGCTTGTCATTGAGAAAAAGATCAAATCATTCCCTGTATGTGTTTCCTCTTATCCAACTGTGTTTTTTTAAGTCATTCTCAAAGCTCTGCACCAGTCCCATTTTCTCGATTTTAACATGATAATATCTGATGTGGGATTTTGTTAAAAAAGCTTTTATAAATTAAAATTAACACCTCTGCTTTACTCCAGTAGAGTTGTCAGGCTGGTAACATAGAACAGTACAGCAGAGGAACAGGACTTTCAAATGCATGCTGTCTCTGCCTGATCCTGACTTCTTATCCAAATTATCTGCAATAAAATCATTTCTTTTCCTGCAGGTTGTCTGGTCTAAAATTCCAAGATTTTTCTCTCCTTTCCTTTTCAAATAGATTGCTTACATTAGCTACCCTCTAATCTTTGGAATTTATTGCAGCGCGTATAGAGGTTTGGAACATGACCAGCAATACATCCACCATTTCTAAGGCTACTGTGTTAAGTGCTCTGGGACATAAATTATCAGTCTCTGGTATTTCCCAGCCTTCAATCCTATCAATCTTCACAACATTATTTCCTGAATAATACTGATTTGATTCAGTTTCTCCCTCTCACTAAATTCCGTTTTCCTTAACATTCCTGGCGTGTTTTTTCTTTCCTCATTTGTAAATATAGAACAACAGTAAGTATTCAGTTGGATAACCATTTCTTTAATTCCGCATAATGGACTCCCCTCTTTTTTGATTGTAAGTGACAAATATTTGTGTGTACCAACCTAGTTTTATCTCCATTTTCCTTTTTCATATTTATCAATATATTAACTGTTGTTTTTTAATGGCTTCTGCAAGCTTACTCTTTTCCTCATTTTCTCCTTCGTAATCAAAACATTTTTCCCTTTCTTTCCTGATTTCGAACTGTTCCCCAACTTCAGGGGCTTTTTTTTTCTTTCAAGTTCTTTTTCTTCTCAATTTGTACCTCTTCCGTGGATCAAAAACTGTGTTGAATAGCCCTCTTAAACGACAATTTTGTAAACCGTAAAAAAGAGCATCTTCCGTACTCACGAATCCATCAATTTAAAAGGATTTGGGCAGCTGATGTGGAGGAACACCGCCTTGATATCGGACAAGTTCCCCTCCAAGTCACCCACCATCCGAACTTAGAAATATTTCCCTTTTCCTTCACTGTCGTTGGATCAAGACCCTGGAAGTGCCTGCTTACGGCGCTGAGGGCAGTACTGGGACTACAACTGTTCTAGAAGGCGGCTCAGCATCACCTTCTCAAGTGGAGCCGCGAGGGATGGGCAACCAATGCTGGGACAGGCAGCGACATCCACGTCCCAGGGGTAAGTAAACAAAAAACAGCTGGGTCTTTCGTTGCGGTACTCCGTTCATCACAAGGTTTCTGTCTGCAGCATGCTGAGAATAAAATCAGTCATCTACTCCAAACTGGTATGTACAGCAAGTTCCAGAGATGCGATTACACACCTCTGGTCCGGGTATGACTTTAGCACGGTCCACCTGACCCATAAATAGGGACACTACCACTGCACCGCAAGACTCCCTCCAACAGTCACATTCTGCCTTCGGAAGAATGTCCCATTTATTCCCTCGCTCTGTATGTTACTTTGACAGAGTTAATATGAGACGAAGAACAGCAGGATCGAATACTGCAGTTAACATGGGATCAGACGTGATGTTATTGAACGGTGGAGTCCTTAATAGGGCCGAATGGCCGTCAGCTTCTCCGCTTCCCCATCAGATTGTGAGAGAGCCGGAGGGAGGCAGCTATTAACATGACCCGGGAATGAGCTCCACTGGAGCTTCATCAAGGCCAATGCTCCAGCGTGTAACGTTCTCTGTCCTTTCCCCCACAGCTCCCAGCCGCTTTGCTCAAACTGGGAGTAAAGGGAATTGGGGAAGCCTATTCTAAGGATGCCGACCCTGAAGAAGTTACCCTCCTCCCTCCGGACAAACCTCAGGGGATCTCTTCTATCCGCCTCCCCCTCTATCCCTATTTATTTCAGAACCCCCTTCCCCTCCCCCATTTCTGATGAAGGGTCGAGACCCGAAACGTCAGCCTTCCAGCTCCTATGATGCTGCTTGGCCCGCTGTGTTCATCCAGCTCGACACCTTGTTATCTCCGAATGACCCATTCATGTTTGTTTCTGGGAATCAATGGGAAAACAGCGCATGCGCGATGCTGTCCCTCCCGGCGCCCCCCGAGAAGTCCATGCTGCTGACCAGAAGAGCGCATGCGTGAGGCCCTTCCCCAGCGCTGCCAATGAGGAGCATTTACTCAGTGAGTGGAAGAGGTTTGTTTGAAACAGACCGCAATGGAGAGACCAGCGCCCAGGGAAGCCAGGGAACAGCAGGCCCCTTCCAGCAGCGCATCGCAATGTGAGTCCGGGACACAGAGTTCCGACAGCGGCATTGATTCGGGCTCAGTTCAGGGAGAACCGGGGGCTGTTGGTAAGAGGCCGAACGGGGCAGGAACAGGTCCTGGAACTTGGAGTGAGTGGCCTGGGC